TGGAAGGATGCAAGCCCAATCTTTGTCACCACAAAGGGAGATAATAAAGCTCATACAAGAGAAAACAGAGTCACAGATGGAGACAGTCACATTCTTGGTGACAATGTTTGAGCACCTGGAACCAGCCCCACCTGAGGCCATTTCCCCCTAGGCTTTTTAGATCTGTGAACCAATAAATCCTGGCTTTAGGAGTTGGGCTAGTAATTATGAGTGCTCATCATTTATAATCCAAAGATTCCTAAGTTCCACACAAGCTGGCTGGAACAGAGGCTTGCTGTGGAAGGCAGTGAGGGAGGCTGAGCAGACACGGCAGAAACAAAAAATGTCATGGCCATTCTTTGGAGGCAAGGCCTTAATCTCAGTAGACTGAGGCATCTAGTGTGGGAACTGGAGAGTCTGAATCTCTGAGCCAAGAGAGGAATCTGAAACAACGATAGGCCCTCTCCCTTGACTGCCCACAAGCCACATTCTCTCTTCATTGACCCAAAAATCCTTTGAAAGGAGACCCAGGGACAGAAATGGCCTGGAGCAGCTTCTGTTCTTGGCTTCTTGGGGCTCTGGAAGGAAACCGTCGAAGTCTTCCCAGACCGCACTGGGAAGGCCAAGAATTCACAAGACAACTGGCCAGGGGAAGAGACGGGTGAGGGTGGAGACCACTCGGGGCATTTTCCACTGCTCTTGCTCTGTTTGTTCATGGTCAGTCCGACTGCTCCCAAGGGCCCTGGTCTCTGGTGGGGGTGGGGAGGGAGTACTGTGGGGCTGGTGGAGGAAAGGGACACAGGCCTGGGCTCTAGCCCAGAGTTGGGGCCCTCCTAGGAGTGCAGGATGGTGTGATACATGGAGATGCCCCAGGGCCCTGGAGGGGCAGTACCTGTATCCTCTGCCCTCCCGTCATGCCTAGTGCAGTGCCTGCCACAGGGTTATATGCATGGCACTAGTTTCTCTTCTATTCTAAACAGATCCCAAGTCCTTGCTGGGACTGAGTAGAAGAGGAGGTCATGAGGACCAAGGTGTGTGATCATGTCAGTGTCGCTGATTTGTGCCTTTGGGGCTATCTCCCGCTCTGGCCTCCTGTGACCGTCTCACCCAGTCTCCATGAGGGCAGAACTCCCTGTGAAACCTCTGGCCTGACACCAGCCGCAGACCACTTCCCAGCTTTTGAGAGCTGTAGCTGCAGATGTGAACTAAAATCAGTATATATGGGCAAAGATTCGTTAAAATTTAATACTTATTCATGCATTAAAAAAAATACTCTCAACAAAAGAGGCACGGAGGAAAACTTAGTCTGATAAAGGGTTTCCATCAAAGACACGTGTATGCGGGCACACACACATACACAGAGCTAACATCATCATTAACAGTAAAATACTGAATGCTTTTCTCCTAAGGATAAGAGCAAGAAATGGATGTCCGCCACTATCATTTCTACTCAACATGTACAGTAGAGCCCAGTTGTTTCAATGAGGCAGAAATAAAGATAAAAATAATAAAGATTGAAATGAAACATACAAACTCATCATTTCAGATGAAAATATGGCATATGGAAAAAAATCCAAAATCCAATAATAACCTATTAGAATTAATGAGTAAGTTTAGCAAGGTTATAATCAATATACAAAAATTAGTTGAGTTTCTATGTGCTAGCAACAATTAACAAATGAAAATTTTGATGTGCTATTTATAATAATACCAAAATAATCATCAAATACTTATTAGTAAGTCTAATGAAAGAAGCACAAGACCTCTATGATGATATAAAACATTGCAGAGAAGTTAAAGAAGACCTAAATAAATTGAGGACTGTACCCTGTTTGTTGTTTGACCAGCTTAATATTATTATGATATTAAGTTGCCAAATTGATCTGTATGTTTCATACAAACCCATTCCAGCAGGTATTTACAAGAAAACTGGCAGGCTGCTTTTAAAATTTATATGGAAATTCCAAGGACCCAGAATGGTTAAACTGATCTTACAAGAGTACAAAGCTGGATGACTTACTGGACTGGGTGTCAAGGGTTTTCCTAAATCCAGGGTAAGAAGACAGTGTGGCATAATGTAATCCTAGTCAAGTGGACCAACAGAACAGAGTAGGGAGCCCAGGAACAAACCCGCATGTGTTCAATCCCTGGATTCACAATAAAGATGCATAATTCAGTAAGGGAAGGTGATATTTAATAAATGGTATTAGTTCAATTGGACAGTCATATGGAGGAAAGATGGACCTACCTCATATCATACCCCCAAATTAATTTGAGATCCATCATAGACCTAAAGTAAAACAAAAAAAAATCTTCTAGAAAATAAAATACAAGAATATCTTCATGACCCTGGGGCAGACAAAAATTCCTTAACCAAACAGGTTGAGAGATGTTTGAAATACACTTAAGAAAAAGAACTCATATCTAGAACATATAAGGAGCTTTCATAAATTAATAAGAAAAAGACAGGCCAGGCACAGTGGCTCATGTCTGTAATCACAGCACTTTGGGAAGCCGAGGCAGGAGGATCCGTTGTGCTCAGGAGCTTGAGGCCAGCCTGGGCAACACAGTGAGACCATATCTCTACTAAAATTAAAAAAAAAAAAAAAAAAGCTGGGTGTGATAGCGGCGCCTGTGCTCCCAGCTACTTGTGAGGCTGAGGTGGGAGGATTACTTGAGCCCTGGAGATCCAGACTGCAGTGAGCCGTGATCACACCACTGCACTCCAGCCTTAGTGACAGAGTGAGACCCTGTCTCTAAAAAAGAAGACAGACATCCCAGTTTTTAAAATGGATAAAAAGCTGTGAAGAGAGACTGCACAATAGAGCACATCTAAACGGCCAATTATCATATAAGCATTATTAATCTTCTTGGAAATGCAGATTAAAGTCACAAGAAGATGCCATCACACTCCCCACTAAAATGGCTAGCAGGTGTGGTACACTGACAGTTATACTGCCGTCAGCAGGTGGCCTGCAGCTGTCGGTTCCTCCAAGGTCTGCCTCTGCTAGGAGAGCCACCCCGCCCTAGGCCATGGCCCTCCTGGGGCAACCCAGGTCAGGTGGCTGAGTGCAGCAGGGCTGAGAGGTCAGCCTTTTGTTTCCACTGGATGTGGGTCCCGCTGCTGGGCAGTTCTCATGCCAGCTCCCTGCTGGGTTGACTGGGGTTTTGTCTGACCTGCATCACAACTCAGCTCCTCCCTCCGCCCCATCTTGTTTCTCCCTTTTCTCTTCACAGGTGTGGATCCCCAATCACTATCTCCAGACCCAAACTCCATGGCCCCATCTGCTCCTGGAGAAACCAACCTGCACAGTGTGGATGTGGGTGTGGAAGCCTCAACTGTTGCTGTGTGGATCATCACTTAATACCACTTCAGAAAACTTTTGGCAGCATTATATTACATATTATTATTCTAAGACTAAACTAAATCTGCATAGACCCTAAGACCCAGCACATTCTTGTCTAGGTAGATGCCTAACTGAAATCCGTGCTTATGTTCTCAGAAGTCCTGTTCACAGAAGCTTGATACATGATAGCCACAACTGGCAACAGACCAAATGTCCATCACCAGGAGAATGGATAGACACGGAGGGGTCAGTTCATGTGATGCAATGCTACAGCACATCAAAAGGAAAAAGCCTGCTGCTATACACAGCATGGATTCAGTGCACAGGTTTTATGCTGAACAGAGGAAGCCGGGCACAGAAGAGTGCACACATCCTGCGTGCATACTCACAGTACACACAACCTGTGTGGCTCCATTTATATGGAGACAAAAACCAGGCACAAATAATCTGTAATGATAGGAGTCTGGAGGATGGAGAAATTGGGCTGGAGGGAGCTTGCTGGGGAGCTGCAGGTGTCCAACAGATTGATTGATCCTGGGGGTGGTGGTGTGCATATATACACAAGCAAAAGTTAATCAAGTTCTACAGTTAAGATGCGTGCACCTTGCTGAATGTTACACCTTGATAAAAAAAAAAAGTTAAGAAATAAAAGAAGCCTTCACAATGACCCATGTTTATTCAGAACTTACTACATTTCAGGGCCAGTGATTTCATGCAGCAGATCATTCCATGCACACACATGCCCACCCCCCAACACACAACAAGTACATCCTCAACACATATACACACCCCAACACTTACATACTCCAATACATATACACACCCCAAGACACACACCCTCAAAACACATACACTCCCTAACACACACATACTCCAACACACACACCCCCAACACACACATACCCCAAAACATACACACCTCAACATACACGTACTCCAGCACACTCACCCCAATATGCATATAACCAACACACACACCCAATGCACACTCCAACACATACATCCCAACACACACACCAACAAACACATACTCCAATATATATATGCCCCAATACATACATACCCCAACACACACACATAGCAACACATGCATATTCCAACACACACATACACCAACACATACATACTCCAACACACACATACTCCAATACACACACCTCAATACAAATATGCCCCAAGACACACACCCCAACACGCACATCCCAAAACGCACATTTTGACACACACATACTCTAATACACACCCCAATATGCACACACCCCAACACACACACACTCTCCCCTACACCAACACACACACACATACCCCAATACATACCTCAAAAGATATACCCCCAACACACACACACACACCCAACACACAACCCCCAGCACACACATAGGTCAATACACACACAGCCCACTGCACTCATACACAGACACACACACACACACACACGCACTCTCACACAGCCCCAGCTTTGAGGCACAGCTAAAAGCTGAGCCTAGGGAGAAATAAGAACCTTAGGTGCAGTCGTGTGGTCTAAACTCTGTGATCCAGTTGTCTGTCCTTAAAATGGAAGTGATACTGGTTCCCACCTCCCAGAGATGTAATCACCCACAACATATTAGGGATGCAAGACATTAGGCACAGGGCCAGGTGCACTCAAAGCTCTCAGAATGTAAGGACTGGCTATTGCAGGCCCTGCTGAGGGAGGGCAGGCCCAAGGAACACAGGGTGTTGTGAGGAACACAGGCAAGCAAATTACATGTGTGGGACCTGGGAAGGTTGGGGCAGATATTGGTATAAATCTTTGCATCACCTATTTCAGGTTGCAAATTCCGTAAGAGCTAGTTCCTTCTGCAGCTTGGGAGCGTTGATTATGCTCACTCCACCTATAGAGAAACCAAGGCTTACATTGTTGGGGAGCTGGGGGAGATATGAACGATTACATATCAGTTCTTAGCCTTGGTTTTTGAAACACAAGGAAAATTGTGATTTCTTTCAGAGGACTGGTAGGTTTGGAGCTCACAGAAGCCATGGATCACCAGATGGGAAGAGGCACAGCCAGACGAGGAATCTGGGGCACAGAGATGCCAAAGTGAGTGGCTCCAGGTCACATGGCAACTTAGTGGTGCAGCCAGAATCTGCTCAAAAATAAGATTTTAATTCTACACCCAAGATCAGTTGTTGAAGCAACGTGGAATAAAGCGGGGTGGGAGAAGTGAAAAGTATCTCTGCTTTCTCCCCAGTTCCTCAAAGACCAGTCTCCCTGTTGACTAAAACGCCCACGCAGCTCCCATCAGAACAGAAACCCAGCCAGCCGCCTATCTTGCTGGAGGGCTGTCGAAGATGCAAACGGGAACCACATGCAAGACATCCTCCAGCCACACTCACAGCATTCCAGCCAGAGGGACTGGAGGAGAACTCAGACCTCCTTAGCGTCACCCTCGGGACACAGGCAAACACATTCCCAAAGATCTAAGGCCTCAGACCAGGCCATCTGGGAAGAAAAAGATGGAAAGTCCCCAATCTCAGGGCTGGGCTGTCAGGCAGACAACAGCCCACGGTGGGTAAGCACCCTGCAGACTCCGGAAAGCCCGGCCTTCCTGGACACGAAACGGAGACATGACCAGCACGTGCTTAGGGTTGTCTTCAGATGAAACTCTCTTGGCAGTGGATGAGAGAAGTCCTAGCAGAAGCTGGACCTGCTGCCATCCCTCAAATTTCACACTGGGCTTCTTTTGTGGTGATTGGTCGTTAATCCACTCAGCTGGGACCCTGCGCCTTCCGGCTGTCTGGAAGGCAGGCAGAGGAGGATTTGGGTTCTGGCTACTCAGCCAGAGTCCAGTGACCACTGGAAAATTGTGCAACAGACATACCACGCCTGCCCAGGTCTTTCCAACATACCAGCCCCAAGGCCTTCCCACAGCCTTCCTTCACCCACCCTCCACCTCTTGGCTGAGTGAGCCCTGCCTTCTAATGCCTGTGGTTCTACTGTGCGACCAGTCTTCCTATTTAGGGACCACCCTGCTTCGCCCAGCACACAAGACGCCTCCACTATTTTCCAACCTGGGCATCTTGCTCCCACCCCACCCCCTCTGTTGCCCCCACCAGTTTCTCCCCAGCCCCACAACCAGGACCTAGCAGGGAGGCCCAGGGGCTGGGGCCATTGTCCGAAGCACATTTGAAGGTTGTGAGCACCTGGCAGTGCCCTCGAGTGCTTCATGGTAGGGATGATGAACTAACTGCTCAGCTCAGCTATCTGACCTTCACCTGCTGGAGGATGCAGGTGGGTGGCAGCAGCTTCCCCCCCTCCAGATACTCCTAGTCCTTGAGGTGAGGCTGACGCACAAGAAAGAAATGACCACGCAGCACTGGGGACACAGTTCAGGCTGCATGAGAAAGAGGGCCTCCCTCAAGTCCGCACAAGGTAATCAGGTCTGCATTGGAAGCAAGTATAGTTCAGGGTCGTGGAGACTCAGGGACAGCCTTGGAACTCAGGCGGCCTTATGGGATGTGGAAGTCAGGGCTGAAAACCGAGCAAAATGCAAAATGGTTGCCTCGCTGGGGCCACACATGGCAATCTGCCTCTCTCTGTCTGTGTCTCTGTCTACCTCTCAGTCTCTTCCTTCGTCCGTCACTCTTGGGCTCTCTGCCCTTCTCTCCATCTCTCTCTTAGTCTTCCTTTGTCTCTCTCTTTCCCCTTTTCTGCCTGTCTTCTTTCTTCTCTCTGTGTGTCTGCTTTGCCTTCTGGCCACTGCCGGGCTTCCTCTGCTTTCACTCGGCTTCTGCTCCCCATGACTCTCCCTGGCCAGCATCCAGTGCTTAGCTCTGTGAATTCCTGTCCTGGCCCCTCTGGTCACAGCACACTGCCCCCAAAGAGGCCCAGAGAAGTGAGGCTGCAGAGTAGCTGCACTCTACCTCAGAATCCTAAAGGCAAAGGAATTAGAAGAAGCTCAGAGAATCTAGTGCAGCTAAAAAACAATTAAGATATAATTTACATACAGTAAAATGCCTACATCTTAAATGGACAAGTTGATGGCTTCTACACATGTCTACATGCACCTAATGCCACCCACATCAAGACATGCCACATCTCCATCTCCTCCAAAAATTCCTCTTTCCCCTATCCAGTCAATTCCTGCCTTCCCAGAGGCAGCCACTGGTCTGAATCTTTTCACCATAGTTGTGAAATTCCTTTTGCAAAATTCTGTCAGTAAGAGAAATCTGACATAATTGACTCCATCTTGTTTCTAACCTCCAAGCTGTCCTTGGTCAATCCTGGTGTGGACCAAGCTAACCTTGGGAGGAAGGTTTAACCTTTTTTATAGTTTAAACTTATGGCAAGGATGATGATAACCTAGCCTAAAATTAAACTGCCTTTGTAAAACTAATGAAAGTCCACAAAGTTAGGGCTGTGAGGGGGGCCTGAATCCTGCTAAGATGTGCATATAGTTAAATGTAACCAGCCACTGTCCCAGAGGTCACAAGATTTGAAACGTCCCCGATTACTCCTGTAGATAACATCACTATTGCAGACCCTAATACTGACCTTTTGGGATGTCCTTTCAGACTCTTGCCTTTCTCATGACTGGCTGACTCCACCCAGACCTGTGATTCATCCAGTTCTGTGGCCCCCACCCAGAGGCAGACTCAGCACCTGAAGACTGTTTTCTATACTCCTATGATTTCATCCTCAACCAATCAACATTCCCCATTCCCTAGACCCCTGCCCGCCAAACTATCCTTGAAAAAGCCTAACCTCTGAGCCTTTGGGGAGAGTGATTTGAGCAATAACTCTCTTCCACATGGCCGATTTCCTGTCAATGAAATGTCTTTACTGCAGTACCATGGTCTCAGTGAATGGATTTCGGCTGTGCAATAGGCAAGAAGAAACTGTTGGGTAATTACAAATTTGCCTAGGGCGGTCCACGGGAGAGAACATAGTCATGGGTTCTTAGTTTCTGCTTCTGGTTGGGCCAGGAAAGTCCCTTCCTCATCCCTTTTCCACTTATCACTAGAGACAGAAACTAAAAACCACGGCTTCAGACTGCTAAAAGCTTAAAACAAAACAAAACAGAACAGAACAGCAACAGCAACAAAATAAGGTGGGCTGGACAAGCTTAAGCTCACAGACCTTATTTAAGTGAACTCACGCTGGATGTGGGCCTCTGACTCAGGCTGGTGATGCTCAGCATGCTGTATTGTGGTGTGTATCTGCAGTCCCTTAGTCTGCTTGGGCTCTCATAACAAACACCACCAACGGGGGGGCTTAAATGACAGAAATTCATTTCCTCACAGTTCCAGAGGCTGAAGTCCACGATCAAGGTGCCAGCCAATTTGGTTTATTGAGGGCTCTTTTCTTGACTTGCAGACAGTCACCTTCTCACTATGTCTTCACCTGACCTCTTCTCCTCAGTGTGTGCAGGGAGTGAGGGGAAGGGGTGAGCGGAGGGAGGGAGAGGAATGGGGGAGGAGGGTGCTTTCTGGTGCTTTCTCTATAAGGACACCAATCCTATTGAATTAGAGCTTTACTTCACCTTAATTACGACCTCAGTTAACCTTAATTATGTCCTTAGAGGCCCCATCTCCAAAGACAGGCCTGCTGGGGTTAGGGCTTCACATTCACATTCACATTCACATTCTGGAGGGTCAGGAACATTCTGTGCGTAACAAGCAGTTTGTTCCCTTCATGGCTGAGTTGCAGAGTAGTATTCCATTACATGGATGGTTGTATGAATATATCTTGATTGCTTTGTTCCTCACCTGTTGATGGACATGTAGGTTGTTTCCAGTTTGGGGCTATTTATTATGAACGAGGAGAATATTTGAGTAACAGTCTTTGTGTGGACCTGGATTAATCAACAAAGGGAATACCCTGGAGCACACCAGTGAAAACTCCACTGGTGGTGAAGGCTTCAGGAATGTCTCCATCCAGAGGCTCCAGACCCCATTCCATTTCTCTGCTATGCTTTCAGCTTTACCTTCGTGTATACATGTGCTTGACCTTACCATCTCCTCTTATAGCTCAGCCTTTCTCCTTTGCTTATTCAATCAGCAAACATTTATGGAGCCAGCTCCATGGCAAGCACTGAACTATGAGTAGGAAACAATGGCTGAGTAAGCTCTGTCCTTGCCCTGTTGGTGCAGGTGGTCTAGTGAGAGACATGGACAGATGGACACGTAAGCCCATAAGTGCTGCACACAAGCCTGCAGCTCCAAGTAAGAAGAAGGAGTCTGTAAGATGAAGGGGAGAGATGTCAGTGACTCGCCTATTTGGGAACTGTGGGGTCAGGCCACAGAGTCTCGTTGCTTTCAGCTCTGTGTGTTTCTCTGTTGCGCCTGTCTCCCTGTAGCTGCCCCGATGAAGTCTCCTAGATGTCAGATGTCCACACAGAGGCTATTTGTTTGTTTCTGATCACAGGCTTGTTTGCAAAGCAAGGCTTGTGAAAGCATTCCCGGTTTGTCTAGATGATGAAAACCCCTCAGGAGAATTTCATGTCCTTGGGGTTGGGGAACTCAATGTTCTACCTCGATGTTGCTCTCTCCTTAAGGACCTTCCACACAACTGCCAGGGCTGGTGGAATGGATTATTTATTGGCCTGATTAAATGTGTCCTTAAGCTATAAAACTGGTGCCAGAGTCTTGGGCTACACTTCCAGGGCGAGACTGATTTGTCTTCTGAGGGAAGAGCTCTAAGAACTGTGGCCTCTTTCTCCTCCCACATGATTTCAGGACTGGGAGATTCTGAATATGCACATGGGTGTTCTGCCCCAAAGGGTTTTTACTCAAGGGAGTCTGTTCATTTTACAACTATTCCATTTATGCCTGATGCACTCCAGGCATCGGGCCATGACTTGGCCTCTCCCTAGAGGAGCTCAGAGCCTGCGGGGGGGGGGCAGATACCCATGAACCATCACTCATGGATTACATAGGCAAGTATAAACCATTGTGACTGCCACAAAAGACGGACACAGGGATTTTAAGTGGGCATATCAGGGTGACTTGACTTAGATGAAGGGTCCAGTGACATCTCAGCTATGGAGATCTGAAGGATGAGCACAAGAAGGGAGGGGAGGCAATGGAACAGCATGTGCCAAGGCACCAAGGGAAGAGGAATCAGGGCACAGAGAGGAGCTAAGAGGGGCAGGATGGGCTGAACACAGTGAGAATGGGGAAGAGTGGTTCAAAAGGGTAGAGGGCCAGTCACCCCAGGCCCTGTGGAGTCTAGAGTTTATTCTTAGAGCACTGGGGAGCCATGGCAGGTGTGAGCAGAAGGCTGGTGTCACTGCTCCCCTCAACCACCACGTAAGACCTCCCACAGGCAGGCTCTTCCTCTGACCCTTTCTCTGCAGGGTGTTTCTAAAGCATCTCTTATCCCATCATTCCCAGCCTTAGAATCTGCCAATAACTCTTCACTGTGGAGGCAAAGTCAAATTTCCTTAGCAGGGGCGTGAGGTCGTAATAGCTGGTCAAGACTTCGAAGAACAAGCAAGTGACTGGGAGTTCGTCGGAAGTCACTGTTTGCTGTCTTTCTTTTCCTTTAAATAGCATAGTGTTAGGAGCTCCTTTAGGACAGAAGAAGTCATGATACAACATTTTCTTATGTTCCCAACAGAGGCCAAAGCATGGGCACTGTTGTCATCATCATCACCATCATTATCATCTTCATCATGGCTTCCATTAATTAGGCCAAGCATTTTATATGCTGTGTTGGTTAGCTGTTGCTGTGGAACTTAACAGCCTATGATAGTGATTTGTAATCACGACCGTTTATTTTGGTCACAATTTTGTGGATTGGCAGTACAAGTTTGGTTCAGTGGGGCAGTTCTTCTGGTGTTGACTGTCTAACATGTCTGTGGTTAGCTGTGGGCCAGCAGGCTGCCTCTGCTTCTGGGGATTGATTGACTGTTGGCAGGGTCAAGAGGGATGACTGATTAATGTGTCTTCATCCTTCTGGTAAGATTGAGCCTCTTCATAGGGTGGTGGTGAGGTCCCAGAATAAGAAGAGATACTTACTCAAAGTGAGAAGGAATAGTCAGTTGGCCACATCAAGTTACAAGGCCATCAGTATTGAAGGAAGTGAAGAAAGAGACTCTGCCACTTGACAGGAAGTATGGCAAAGGGGCACGGATATGGCAGGGTGTGAAAAATTGGGTCATTTTTGCAAACAGTCCATTTCACAGGTGTTACCTTACTTCCTCAGAAAGACATAGTTGAAGCTCAGTTTTACAGGTAAAGCAGCTGAGGCACAGAGAAGGAAGGATTTTGCTCAAGGAGCTGCTAATAGTTGAGAACAAACCCTGGTTTGTATGACTCCACAGACAACACGTTCTTAACTCCTGTGAGTTACTGCCCACTCCACTCACAGACGAAGACCTAAGGAGCTCAGCTTCCCAGGAGGCCATTGTCTTTGTCATCATTGCTGTCATTGTCACCATTGTCACATTTATTGAATATCTGTGATGTGCAGATGCTATCAGTGCTTTACGTGCATTAATTCATGTATTATAATTCACCCAATGTCGCTATAAGATGTATATTAATAATTTTCCCGTGTAACATGGGTCAGAGTTAGAAATGTCATGACCATGTCACTCATTTTGATATTCCCTCTATAGCACAATGTCTGGCACATAGGTCGTACCCTCTTACCAAATGTTTGCTGAATGAATGAGGGCAGGAGTAGGGGAGTGAACAAGGCCCAAGGGAAACAAGCATTAGCCCAAAGTCACACAAAGTGGGACCAGACCTCAACATCCCCCACTTCCTTCCCATGAGGCCCCTGGGCAGCCTTTTACCTGGATCTGCTGCTGCTCCACTGCCCCAAAGTGGATGAAAATAGGAAACAAGACTTGGGACGTGCTGCTCTGTCTTCCAGCAGGTGCCTTGGAACCAAACACAGTCCCGGAAATGGAAATCTGAGAATGTTTTACAACCACATAGCACAGTGGAAAGAGCACTGGGCTTAGAGTCTGAAGACCCATGCGTGCCACCCTTGGTTGATCTGTGATCCTGGATGGGTCACTTGGAGAAGACCGGACTTCCCACATCTGAAATCCAGGGCTTCAGATTTTACATCCTGTTGACATCCCAGGACTGTGTCAGAGATGAGAGGAGTTCACAGATGCAAACTCTCCCTGAAGCTTGTACTTAACTCACAGACCTCTCCGGGTTGACTCAGCTCCACTGGTTGCACCCCAATGATACCCCCAGCCTCACTTACTTGCTCAGAGGAGCCCAGGCTCCATGCCAGCTCATCTTCTAACTGCTACAGGCTCCATCTGGGTGACATCCTGCTACAGGGTGACGTCTGCCACAAGGCCTGGCGTCTTACCCTCCATGGAACCACAGCAACTCTAGCGTTCTCGTCCAACCCAAGCAGTCATGCAGAGGCTCTGGCTCATCTCACTCTTTCTAGATGCAGATAAAGCACTGTGCCCTGGGATGTAGCATATGGCTTCCCCAGAAGCTGTCTGAAGGGACCACAACACTTCCAGGAGAGTTAAGGCCCTAGGGTCAGTTTGGACCAGTGAAAGACAGATGATGGAAAATCACGAGGAGATGCCTCTTTCTTCTTCTTCTTCTAGTCCTGGCTCCTCTGGAGATGTTGCATGGCTGAGTGACCTGGTGTGCTTCGCTCTGCAGTTGTGACCAGCTCAATCATGTACCACCCTGTGTTTTCTTTCTCTCCTTTCCCGCTTCACTTCCCATGTTCCTTCAGTCTTCCCCCAGCTCACACCCTGGAATGACACACCAGTATCTGAGTTTCGCTGGTGGCTCTGTCAGATAGGCAGCCTAGTCTAAGATAAAGAGAAGAATTTGAGAAAGTTGTCAATTTGCAACCATTCAAAAAATCAGAGGAAGGCTGGCTGTATCTAGCGCCAGCTAGGATATGGAGCAACCGGAATGCTCTCGTATGCTGCTGGTGAGAATGCGAAGTGGAATAGCCACTTTGGAAAATGGGCAGTTTCTTAAAACATTAAACATACACCTACCATATGGCCCAATCTTGCCACTCTGAGGTATTTATCCAAGAGAGGAAAAAATACATATGTCTGCACAAAGACTTGTACGCGAATGTTTATAGCAGCTTTATTTATAATAGTCTCAAACTGGAAACAACTCAGACGTCCCCCAACTGGTGAATATATAGACAAATGGTGGTATATTCATACAATGGAATTTTACTCAGCAATAAAAATGAATAAACTCTGGATACACACGACATGCATGAATCTCAAAATAATTATGCTGAGTGAAAGAGGCCAAAGAAAGTACTGTTTGATTCCATTTGCATAAAATTCTAGAAGATGCAAACAAATCTATAATAACAGAAAGTAGGCCAAGGATTGCTTGGGGACGGGGGTGGAGGAGGGGCGGGTTGCACGCAGGAGGGCACGAGGGGACTTTGGGGGTGATGGAAGTGCTCGTCATCTTCATTGTGGTGATGGTCTCAAGGGACCACCTTCATGAAGATGTGAAAAGGGGGGAAACTCACCAGGCCCATAAGTGAACCCAACCAAATCTTTAGGGGAACGATCACTCCAGTGCTATTTAGAGCATTTCAGTGTGCAGAGAAAGGAAAGCTTCCAAATTCCTTTTGTGAAACTAGCATAATTCTGATACAGAAAACCTGGCAAAAAGGGTCCATTAAGGAGGAGTGTGCCGCTCTGCACACACCTGTGGAGTTATTATTGACTCTGTAAATCAGCTACATTGCAGCTGACCCAGTTTCACAATATTTTTCTGTCTTTAGTTTCCAGAAATTTAATTGCATTGTGTGTTCCTGTGGATCTCTTCGGGCGCATTCTGTTTGGGGAAAGCAGCAAACAGGTTTACCGGATCAGATCAAGAAGTAAGACGAGGCAGGCCAGCCTCAAAGGCTGATCCCAGCGAGAGGGCTTCTCCTAGAGGGGAGCCAAGGCCAGGAGCTTCCTGAGCGTGGGCTCCCTGACGCCCCTGCCGCCTTTCTCTGCTTGTCCCTCTCGCCCTGACCTACCTGCTGCTCCCCATGCCCATGGCTCCCACCTTGGTTTGTATCTTCACCATCCCTTTTCTTTTCTTTAAAAATCTCTGGCAGTCTCTGAGCCCCCCTCTCCCTGCAATCCATCCTCCATGATGCCAGAAATCCAATTATGTCACATACTAGAATCCAGTCACTCCTCTGCTCACGTCCTGTTAGGGGCTGAGCTGTGTCTCTTTCTCCACCCCAGAAGTTTTTATGTTGAAGTCCTAAACCCCAGTATATCATGACATGCCCATATCTGGAAATAGGGCCTCTAAAGAGATAGTTAAGTTAAAATGGGGCCATTAAGGTGGGCCCTCATCCAATCTGACCGGTGGTCTTATAAGAAGAGGAGATCGGGACACACAGAAACCCCAGGTCTATACATATACAGAGGAGGGGCTGTGAGCAGGTGGCTACCTGCAAGCCCAGGAGAGAGACCCTGGGAGAACCCAAACTTGCGAACACCTTGATCTTAGACTTCCAGCCTCCAGAATTGTTAGAAAATAAATGTCTGTTCCTTAAGCCCCCTAGTCTGTGTATTTTGTCATGGAAGCTCTAGCGAACTAACACTGTCCCCGTCTCAGACTCTGCTCTCCTGTGGCCCACAGAACAGGTGCAAACTTAGGACTGCACAGCCCAGAGCCACAGCCTCCTTCCCTGCAATGCTTCAGCAACGCTGGAAGGACTGCACCAAGTTGTGCATGTCTCTGCATCTCTGCAATGCCACTCCCTCTGCCTGGGGCAGCCTATCCTCCTTCTTGTCAACAGGCAGAGGCTCTGCTCTGCAGGTGTGACTTGTACCTCCACTGTCTGTACTCAGCGTAGGACCTGCCACTGGGCAGGTGCTCCTGAAGGCTTAGAGGGAGGAAACAGAAACGTGAGAGGGGCTGCATTGGTGGACACAGGCAGGCCGGCTTTGTGAGCATACAACCTGCGACTTAACACGGACTCCAAGTATCTCTTATTTAGGTCAATGTGTTCTTCTCATTTTTTTCCTGATTCCCATTAAAGTTCAACTTTATTGTACATTTTTTTGTTTTTTGAGTCAGGGTCTCACTTTGTTGCCCAGGCTGGAGTGCAACGGTGTAATCATATTTCATTGCAGCCTCGAACTCCTAGGCTCAAGCAATCTTCCTGCCTGATGTTTTCTTGCTTAACCTTGGTTTCTCATTTTTCTACAATGACTGTGAACTTTTCATAGTAATAACAAAAAGGAAAAAAAGAAACAATAAAGATTGGACACATGATGAAAAAATCAGTTTTCAAACACCCAACACATACTCGAAGTACGAATGACATCTTTTTCTTCTAGTTTTCATATTGTCTTCCTGTCTGCAATCCATAATCATCTCTCTCCAAGTTCAGGAGATCCTCTGAGGCGGGTCCGGTGCTCTGCGACTTCCCTGAGTAATGTGGGCACAGACCTCCAAGCTTGGATAGGAATCAAATTGTCCTGGGAAGAGACTTGGAGCGGAAGAAGCTGGTGACCTGGAAACACCAACAAAGAAAGCCCCGACAAAAGCCTGTCCCTCACCAGCTGGCCAGGGAAAGGGCAGCTCAGCAAGAAAGAAAACTTTTAGACAACCCTGTTCTACTCCAGATAAACACCGCACAAACCACGCCAGCAAGTGGTGAGTGGGAGCCTAGATGTCCCCACTCGAGAGGCTGTAAGGAGGATCTCAATAGCCTGGCAGGAGCGGTTTCCAAGAAGGCCCAGTAGAGATAGAGGCCTCACCCTCATTGGCTGGCAATCAGCTCACCCTTCCCCACCCTCATAGAGTCCACCCACATGGAGCCTCTGGATTTTCATCCCCCCCCCCCCGCAATAATGAGGCATCTCATTCTCTCTCCACTCTCCAGGGTGTCCAAGAAGTTCTTGGGAGGGTCAGGACTTTTAGCAGCACCCAGCAGCGATGAGGCCACCTCCATCAAAATGTCAGCAGAGACTGCTGGGGAGCTGGAACTCTCACCCCCCACTCGGCAGTAATGAGAACCCCCACACCTTGGTGTCATGGGGGCTGAGTGGAAAACCTGGACTTCGACTTTCACATGTCAATCACGAGGAATGCCACACACATCCCCCTGTGGAAACAGTGTCAGAGAAAGCCAGGTACAGAGAAAGCTTCGATAAGGCCCAAGTCTCATCAGAATACAAACATTTCCAGGTTTTAATGAAAAAATCACTTGACATATCAAGAAGCAGGAAGATCTCAAATGGAATGAATAAAAGACAATCAATCGATACCCATACCAAGGTGATGGAGATATTAGAATTATCTGGAAAGGATCTCA